ACCGTTCGTGGCCGCGGCACAGTCTATAACTGGAGGTAAACTGGAGGCAAACAAATGGTGCGGTGGCGACGGCTCGGCACCTTCTGATTCACGCCGGCGACGTTACGTTGAACTTGTTTGTACAACTGCGTGGCGTGCGGATAACAGACCGACCAATCGAACGCGATATGCGATGATCTGTCCAGTCGGTCGATAAAAGCGCTTCATTAAGCTGAACTCATTCCAACGTGACGACATGAGTTACACGAACCTGAACCTCCGTAGAGTGAAACACAGTCTGTCGCAGACGTTGTTTACTCGTGCTTTAAAGCCGCGCCAATCGATGTTACTCGCGTCGCTGCCCTTGTTTACGATAATTGTTTATGCGGTTCATTTAAAGATTGGAATGGAAAAAATTCCAATTTTCAGCTATGGCCCAGACGGCCCCTTTCAATCAATGACCAGGAAGCGACCCCTCGTCCGATTGGCCGTGGTACAGCATGTGCCAAGCGGGTGAATGATCGGCGATGATTGGCTGGTTTCCATGTTCAACCGGAAGCGAAACTCACCATTTCAACTTCACCTCATCTTTCACACCTGATTCTTCCTCCGGACACGACGCCAACATCCACCATCGATCATTTCGAGAAAAAACTTGCTTTGCGTGTTTCTGCGCGCGACATTCACGCCGCTGTTTCAGCATTCGTCATGGAGCCGGCAAGGTAAAGACGACCGGACCTGCAGTCACACATCCGCATCGAACACAGCCGTTGGCGCCTGTGGTTTCCAGCTGGACGTCAAGGTAGCTCCATAGCTGAAGAGCATCAGGCGACATCTGCGGCAGAAAGGACGCCACCTCGCCATGCCAGTGGTCATCACCGTGGCGAAGGTGACGCTGGTTGCCATGCTGACGACTGTGGTCACTCTGGTCACTGACGCGGTCGACAACAGGCAAGATCTGCATTCGATAGTACTTGATTGTTCGTCAGTTCGCCTTTCCCATTTCAGCGACATTTTCTGCCGTGGTCCGGTGCTGCACGCTGTGCAGATGGCAAATTTGTTCGAGGATAGCAAGCATTTCGTTGACATGACTATGAAGTACGAACCAGGTAAGCGCGCTTACCGATCGGATGAATGAGTTTATTACAACACGCCATAAAACAGCGTCACTCCGAGGACGAGGTTTCGACTGGACCTATGTTCATCCTCGGTGAAATGATTTTGCTGAATCTCTGTCCTCGTCGTCATGCGTAACAAGGTGTGTCAAGTTCAGATCGGAAGGAAAGGAAAGTTTGTATCCGTCGAAATGTGCGTTTTCGTTGCACCGCTTGACGAGGCCATTCTGGTGCCTTTCTTTTCATGAGGTTAACGGGGAGGTGTTGATCTCCATTTCTTTGTCATCAGCGAAAAGTGTCCTATTTTAAAGGCCGACTTGACAACAACTATATGAAAAGCATGTGAGTAGTGTCCTGTTTCCTTCCCACCGAGTAGTACTCATTTGTTTACCTTGGGAGGAAGAAACGTGAATGACGCTGACCAGGACTCGAACTCGGCAAATCTTTCTGAGTCTTGTTCTGAGTTCGATGCTTTACCCACTGAGCAACTGTGTACTGAAGCACCATGTGGTAACTTTTTTGCCTAAAGAAATTCATGGTCAACATCGAGATTTCCCTCCGCCGGAATTGAACCCTGCACTCCTGCAGTTTGAAGCCGGCCTCAATACCAGGGCCATCAAACATTTCTGGCATCGCCGTCACTCGCTGCGGTGACTCGCTGCGGTGACTCGTTGCGGTTATCGTCTGTAACTGAAATCGTTGCGCGGTCACGTTTTGCTGCCCTCGGTGATCCGCTGACTTCTTTCACCTTTCAGCACTCTTACCCAGCTCTTGGACGTTTTCTGTCCACAGTGACAATCGAGTGCGCAATCGACAGATGTCCTTACGATTAAAACCATCGCAGTTCAGTACGAACAGTTGGTTATGAAAGGTAGTTAAGATTTCCTTCAGTTTGTTTGAAAACTCTTGAACTGGAGAGTTTGAGCAAGCTGGGTGACAGGTAAAACTTCTCGAATACCATCACTTTGAATGAAGACAGCTGTTCATTTTGAAGTGACAGCACGATTCCTCCAATACCATTTTTTGCTTGCCTCCAGAGAACCTTCTAGTCGGAGGGCCATTTGTTATTAGTTAGCGAACACGTCTCCCCGACGACTTTGAGCGTTGCAAGAACTATCTCGACAAAACGTAGTGAAGCCCCTTTGGTTGACTGAGTCACCTTAGCGCGTAAGACTCTTTTTTTACACGACTGAAGACCCTTAAAAACAGTACGATCAACACGTTAATAGCTGTTTCATTGCGAAATCCTAACTCAGCATTTGCACCAGTGAAAACACCATCAAATAAAATTTACTCAAGCGCCTGACCAACTCAGATTAAGATGAGTCTTCGTTTAGCACTCGCCGATTATCCTAGCAAAATAGTACTGTCTGAATAGATCCGCTGCTGCTACAAAGCATTTTGGCATCTGGATAAATTTCATATTTTAAAAGTAAATTGCCTTAACGGAAGGTGGTCGGCGACGATCGTGGACTGGTACCCTCACGGGCGGACGAGGCCAGTTCGCCGCCCACCACAACGGTGGGAAGACTATACTAGAAGTTGGGAAGTGTTTGGTTGGGAAAGGCTCCAAACCTCATGGAATGGTCGGCGTATGCACACATGTATACATGCATAATTCGCTTATTCCATAACAAGTCGCTGAGTGAATTGAATAGAACCGTTTCAGCACGTGGTAAACTTCAAATATCATTGCATTGTTAGACGTATAGTTTCAAACGAATATTGTCGCATTATGAAATAACATAGTGTGTTTTGGTCGGCGCGATTGATCCAAATGAGCGTCTTCAAGTGAGCATCTTATTGGACCGATCTCCAGTACGCTCTGCAAGATATAAAGAAACGAATTTCAACTGGTACCGCCTATTTCTCATGATTTATTGGTTTTTAGTAGTATCGTTGTCATCATCTTGAATAAAAATGCTTCAACAGCAATGTCGCGAAGGCTAAACACGCTTGTTCTTTTGAAATGAAGTATTAGGGTGACGTTTGGCCATGTCCGCAGAGGCATCAGGCGTTATACCCCTGAAGCAAGCATGCCTCGTACGACGAGTGTTGCCAACTTCTGCATCGTTATCCAACGCGCCTGTGTGAAGGTTCAATGGAGGCGTGTTGTCGTACAAACCATGGTTTTATTAGTACATTGCTTATGTATCTATGATCTTAGCGATGGATGATTAACGATGTGAGTTGGCTTGACTTCTGAAATCAATCAATGCATCTTCTTCACCTTCTTTGAAAGTTCTGCGTTCTATTGTTGGGCGGTGTCATGCAATCAAGCCAGATGCCGGTCTTTGATGTCTTCCGATTTCATTCTTAGACCGTTGTCCATCAGTGTCTTCTCGTTCATGTTCGGTCAGGTACTATCGTCAAGATTTTAAATTTTTTCATGATGCCCATCCCGTTAGAAGTTCGGTCCGCCGTTAAATCTTGTCTTAAGTGAGTTTTGCATTATCTAACGTACTCCAGCATAAGTACATACTTTGAAATTTATGCGGTAGCACATAGAGTACCAGCTCCCGAATGATCGTTCGTCATGAAGGTGAGGTGACTTTAGCGAGCACAGTGATGCGATAGGCATCTGCCATTGCAGGTGTTCAAAGGCCATGATATCGTGGCCTGCCTAAATGACCCACTGGGAAACTAGGAGCATGAGAGTTATGCAATGCGTGGTGAAATCTGCTCTTGGAGAAGTTATGAGCCACTTAGCTCCGGCGTATGGTCATAATTTGATGCTTATGCGATAGCGAAATATTGCACAGTACTCTGTGGCGTATAAAGGAAGGTTTTTTGCGTTCAAATCATAGTGAGGGTTCCGTGGCCATTACCTTGAACCGATAGCTGATTTTCCAAGTGGGGGCTCCAAAATTTGCGGTTCAACGAGAGTTCCCGGAAAAAAAGAGCACCGCGGACATCGCTGGAGACTTCCATTTAATTTATGTTGCATGATGGCATGCGTTCGTCAGTCACAGTACTGTCGTGGGACTTTATTCTATTTTTCAAGTAACGTTGCCACTTGTTAAATCGCCGCACCCTCGGTCACTGCTGTTACATGGTCTGCAACTCCTTATTCGTCAGATTCCGTTTACGTTTAGGTTAGCCCTCATACCTCCCTTAGAATCTCTAATCAGCAATGTGCTAAGTAACATCAGACGTTAGTGACAACCAGCTGAACCGAGCTGCATGCTTTTATCCATCTCATACATGAATAATACGTATTTGGTTATATTTGTATCGTTTGACTGGATTCTTTACATTGTATGCATCAAAGATATGCTTACATGAGCAGCTGCACCCTCATCGATCTTAGTGTTGTTAAAAGTGTCAAAGAGGGGCGTATCTTTAAGCAGAGTAACAAAATTGCGCAATATTCTTTAGAAATTGTTTACGATGCGTTTCTGCATCTGAAGAACGCGTCTGACCCAGTGGAGCTAAAGGCATTTGTCGATATGCATTTTTCCGAACCAGGAAGTGAGCTACAGGATTGCATTCCAGTGGACTGGCAGAGGGAGCCGAAGTCGTTCACCTTCATTAAGGATATGCGATACAGGTTGTGGGCTTATGACATTCATTTGAAGTGGAAGCATCTGTGCAGACGAGTAAGTATGATATTCATCACTATCCCCGGATTTATTAAATTAATGTTGTTAATTTACCGTTTTCCGATTTTAGTCAATAATCAAATAATATTTTATTTTTGTCTTCCCGTTTGTGATTTACCGAAGCGTCAAATTTATTTCTTGTGTAAATATACAAGAACTTGTCTGTTGAGTTGTTGCTGCCTTGAAAGGCCGTGTGCGAGCGACAGAACGAGTCGTGCAGAGGGGGTTGCTCGACCCACACAGTCAAGCAGCCAGAGCTGGCCGTTTGAGTGAGTTAGTCAATCAGAGAGGTCCATTTGCTTGAATAACGGTGGTTGCTATCAGCACAAAATGGTCTGATCACAAATTACATGCAAATATCAACTGGACAGAATTAATTCTGATTCATGGCCCACTCAATTCAAATCAAGTTATGCCTAGTGCTACAGTAGAGTGTATCCTTTTCCAGCGGTTCGGCGTCGTATGTACAAAAATATACAGTATAAAAATGATTTATTTACAGCCAGCTGAAAAGCTTACTCAGGTTACGTCTTTTTCGAGGTTAGTTTTCGTATTCATAATGGTTTTTCAACACCTGGAGCAGATAAAGT